AATCGTAAATACGTCTTATAAAAGTCGCGCTCGAAGACGGGAAGAGGTGGGTGGTGGATCAGGCTGCCACGCTCCTCTGGATCTCACACAGGGTTTCTATTACCCTGCCGTGTATCCAGAGTCCCCACGAGATGGATGTGGAGTCCTCTTCGGCTTGGGCGGAAACCATTCAAGCCTCTTATACGGCTAACAAGCCAATCGTTAGCCGCCACGTGTGAATAATTTAGCACTAGCCAATCACGGGGAACGAATTTGCATACCGGTGGCGGGAACTCTTTTGTACCGTGCATTCCTCTTGCAACATGAGCAATGCACTCTGCAAAAGAAGCTGCAGAAAAGGCGGGAAACTCGTCCCTGCACCGGGAGTTTCCTGTGCAACAGGAAACTCTCCCGTGCAATGAAGCTACAACTTGGCGGGGATAATTCTGGTGCCGAAGCACAAACAAAATCATGCCTTTGGGTCATGACAATTAGGTTTTGATTATTGAAAATGTGCAGCTCAAATTAAGAATGCCCAGATGTGATGGAAATAGATAGAAATAGAGTTAACCCTGTAGGACACTGATGAAGAAATAAAAGAGCTATGGAAATGATCTTTATGTAAGCAATGCATTTCTAATGGATAAGTGATACCATATAAGCTGCAAGCAAATATTTTTGCCTTTACCAGCTTTAAGGAAGTATTGATTTGTATTTGATGATTGAGATATATTTAGGAATTATTTGCTGCTTAGGTATTATTTTATTTTACTTTTGGTTCTGCATAGAGAAGTGTTTAGGTTTGAACAGCCAGCCAGTGATAAAACATTCTCATTGGACAAAACCCTACTGTTGTTACACATTAATTTAGTCAATTCTTATTTCATCATTGATTTTTTTTTTTAATGAAAATAATAATAATTTTACAGACTAGGGTGCCATGCTGTGCTTTTGTAACAGCAAAAATACAGCAGTTAGATGAGAGTACATATCAGCAAAAATACCTTTTTCACTGATGCTTGCTTTGGTACATCCACGGGAGAATCTTAAATCTCTTGGTGACTGACTGTTCTTATGGATGAAATGTTGAATTGTATATCAGACTTTATATACAGTAGAGTCGCATCATACGCGCATTTAACTTACGCGAATTCGACTATACGTGCTCGGAGATGATGATGACGATGAACAGGAAGAGCCAGTAAGTTGGGATCTTCATAAATTTGCTGAAGTGTTCCAAGCAGCAAAATACTTGAATGATTTAATTTCTGAATACGATCCTTCCATGGAACAAAGCCTCAAAATCACACGTCGTATTACGGACGATTTGAGACCATACCAAGAAATGTTTGAGCAGCTCAAGAGACAACAACGACAGTTGCTGATCATCATGTGTTCCAAGAAAAAACAACCAGCAGCAGATGAGCCTATGCAATCAACTTCTCGAGCTGAACCAGAGCCAACCATTTTGTCTATGACTCGATCTCCGTCACCCAAGCCTAGCCCATTATCTCCTGGATCGACATCAAGCCCTGATGAACCCCCAGTATGGGCAATTTAAGGGATTTTCAAGGGTAATTTTGACTATACACGATTTTCGCCTTACACGTTGACTTTAGAACCTAACCCCCACGTAAGATGCGACTCCACTGTACAACTGAAATAAAAGCACAGAACTCCAGCTACCTATTTTGGGTGTCTGCAACCACAAAAAGCACCGTAAAATGGTTGGTGTGATATACTTATATTATTTTCAACAGCAGTGCATTGAAGTGTCTCTGTTTATATTATAGGATCATAA